TAGTACAATGGTGAATAGTAGTAAACAGTGCACATCCTTGTCTTCTTTCAAATCCTAGAAGGATTACCTGTAGTATTTTTCCATTAAATGAGAAACTAGCTTTAGGAGTAAAGTATATTTACACATTTTTTATATCATGTCAAGAAGATATTCTTTAATTACTACATTCTTGAGTGTTTTATGATATATAGGTGTTCACTTATTCAAAGGCTTTTTCAGCTTCTATGGAAAAATGATATTTCTATTAAATTTATTAATATTGGCTATGATATTAATTGATTTCAAGCCAGATTTACATTCCTGGAATAAATCCCACTTGGCCATGGTGTATTATTTTCTTAATGTGATGTTGAATTCTTTTTGCTAATATTTTGTTTAGAATTTTTGTATCAATATTCATGAGTGATATTGGAAAATAGTTTTCTTTCTTTATACTGTATCTAATTTAGATATCTGTTATATTTGCTTCATAAGAGAAATTAGGAAGTTTCCTTCCTTTTTAATGTTCTAGGTTAATGGTTTAGTAGATTCCCCTGTGAAATCATATGGGTCTTGTGCTTTTTCTTAGTGTAGATACTTAATACTTTTTTCTGTTTCTTCTATAGATGTTAGTTTCTTTGAGCTCTTTAACTCTTTTTTTTAAGATTTTATTTATTTATTTTTAGAGAGGGAAGGGAGGGAGAAAGAGAGAGAGACAGAGAAACATCAATGTGCGGTTGCTGGGGGCCATGGCCTGCAACCCAGGCATGTGCCCTGACTGGGAATTGAACCTGCGATGCTTTGGTTCGCAGCCCACGCTCAATCCACTGAGCTATGCCAGCCAGGGCTGAGCTCTTTAACTCTTGTAGGGAATTATTAATTTGCTCTAGGTTTTCTTTTTTTAAAATAATAGTTTGATATTAATGTTTCTTTCTCTTTTTTAATTGTTATTTTTTAAAAGATTTTATTTATTTTTAGAGAGGGAAGGGAAGGAGAAAGAGAGAGAAACATCAATGTGCAGTTGCTGGGGGCCATGGCCTGCAACCTAGGCATGTGCCCTGACTGGGAATCAAACCTGTGATGCCTGGTTTGCAGCCCACACTCAATCCACTGAGCTACACCAGCCAGGTAATTTGCTCTAGGTTTTCAAATGTATTTGCATTAATGTCTGCAAAGCAGTTTCATTTCATATTTTTTTTCTTGCCTCAACGGTTATCTCTCCATCAGAGATATATGAAAGTATCTGAAATACAACAGATAGTCATTTATAGTGTGTGTTGAGAACCCTAATATGATATGTGATAGTATGCAAAGAGAATTTCTTCTTTTTCTTGGTACATTTCTATATTACATTTTCCAGTGGACATATTCATATATTACTCATGTAAATTTTTTTTCATTTTAATCATTGTTCAAGTACAGTTTTCTCCCTTTTACTCCCATTCCAGCCCACCCACCCAACCCTCCCCACTTCCCTCCCATTACCACCCTCCCCCTAGTTTTTGTCCTCGTGTCCTTTAAATTTGTTCCTGTAAACCCTTCCCATTCTCCCCTGAAATTCCCTCTTCTCTCTCCTCGGGTCACTGTCGGCCTGTCCTCTGTTTCAGTGTCTTTGGTTATATTTTGCTTGTTTCTTTGTTTTGTTGATTAGGTTCCTGTTAATGGTGAGATCATATGGTATTTGTCTTTCACTGCCTGGCTTATTTTGCTTAGCATAATGCTTTCCAGCTCCATCCAAGCTGTTGCAAAGGGTAGGAGCTCCTTCTTTCCTTCTGCTGCATAGAATTCCATTGTGTAAATGTACCATGGTTTTTTGATCCATTCATTTACTGATAGGCATCTAGGTTGTCATGTAAATTTTTTAAAAGCCATATGGGCAAAAGAATAAGGCCCAAGAGGACATACGTATACGCAGAGGAATGGCCTCTAACTGCTAAGTGTCTGCTATATAGGGCCTATGGCTCAAAATACTGCTCTACAAATTAACTTGTCAAGATACATGAGTCAGCCCATTGTGTTAACAATTACATTGTATCAGGAGCACATTTTTAAAATGATGACATTATTAGTTAAATGAGCACATTCTTAATGTATATGCTGCCCCTCTTCTCAACCTAAATGGAAAGCCTCTTTGTGAACTTAGATGAAGACTTCTTTCATAGTAGTAGCAGAGTCCCCTGGTTACACCAGGTACTCAAATGTTGATTATTGCTTTGACATAACACCTTATAATGATGCAAAGCACCTCCATATATTAAGTATCTCTATTAGGTAGATTTGGAAGGGTATCTGCATTTCACAGCTGAAAAAAAATCTCAAAGAGATTCAATGCCTTTGCGCAGGACATCTGGCTCACATAGGGTGGCGTTAGGACTGGCACCAAGTCAGCTCTTCTTCCCCTTGTGCTGCAGTGCTCATCACAGCCTGACTTTTCCCAGGCCATGGTTTAGTGCTCCATCACAATATTTGCACAAAAATAATGTCAGTAGCAGAGATGTCACATCTGCAAAACAGTTTAGATATTGTGCTTTTAAATGCTCACTCAGCCTTAAGAGGATAATTATGTAATGACTTAGGAATTCCAGCCACTTTAAAAGACTTACTATAATGACAGAAATGATCTGTGATGCTAAGCAAAAGAATTAAATACATTATATTGCTTAGCATTTCTATTTAGCTGAAAGTATTCAAAAGTTCTTAGTCATCCCACTCCCATTCATTCAACAAATATTTATTAAATGCCAAGTATGTGCCCATCATGGTCCTCAGCACTGAAGATATGGTAGTGATATCCTCTGGAACTCTCACTCCAGTGGAGGGAGACAAATAACAAACAAATGAATGTATTCAGTGGAAAATTCTAGAGAGGAATATAAAGTGGGAAATGGGGCTTTAATTAAGCTGGTCAGGTGAGGTCTCTCTGATAAGTAGACATCTGAACAGGGATGTAAAAGAATTTAAGGAGTGAGCCATACTGGGGAAAGCTAGCTCCAAGCAGAAGGAATGACAGATAGAAAAGTCCTGGGGCAGGAAAGAAAATTTGGTCATTCAGAAAAGTGTAGAAGAGAAAGCAAGTTCTCTCTTCCACAGAGGACAGCAGCTGATCAACATCTCTTCCAAGATTCAAGAATGATTTGCACAGTGTCTTGTATTCACATGATTGTCGATATTTGAAATAAGCTTTCTGTCCTGGCCAGTGTGACTCAGTTGGTTGGAGTACTGTCCTGTAGCTGACAAGTTACAGGATCAATATCTGGTTGGTGCACATGCCTGGGATGAGATTTATCCCCAGCGTACAAGAAACAACCAATTGATGTTTCTATCTTACATCGATGTTTCTCTCCCTCTGTCCCTCCCTCCTTTGCCCTCTTTCTAGTAACAATAAGCATGTTGAAGAATCAAGATGGCAGAGGAGCGAGTGGTAGCTACCCTAACCTCCTCCCAGGACCAATCTGAAATTAGCTAAATTGGAGGAAATCATCCAGAATAAACACCTTAACAGTAGCAGGAGAGAAGCCTTATAACTATGGACAGACAGAAGAAACAGCTTCACCACAATGAGACTGGGAGTCCAGGGAAGGCATGAGAGGGCCAGCTGTACTCCCATGGGTGGCAACTGAAGGACCTGAGGGTTATTTCAGGGGCTGAGGGGTTTCCTCTGAGAGGTGTCGGGGCTAAATCCTAAGCTAAACTCCCCAGCCTATGGCACCAAAGCCCAAAAAGAACCCAGATAACATCCAGCTTTGAAAAGCAACAGGGTTTCTCTCTGCTAGTCACAGATGGCTAAAGTCACAGGGAACCATTTAAAGGGTCAATGCATAAATTTTTACTTGTAGCCATTTGCCCTGGGCTCTGGCAAAGGTGGGGACAGAGTGGACTAGAGATGCTTGAAGAGAGTCTGGGGTTGGTGGCTTTGGGGAGAGGACTGAGAGAGTAGCCACCAGGATCCTGGTGTTGTCATCTCCCATACCGCAGGAGCCATCTTGCTCAGGTAGACCATTCACCTCTGAGTGGCTGCTGCCTGAGGGGAAGCAATAGCCCCACCCAAAGGAATTACTCTGTCCCACCCTGTGGTGCTTAGGCCTGACTGCTGATTACAGGCTGATGAGATTAACAGCTGAAGGAGACAGCCACAAACTGTGGATCACTGGTACTCTTGAAGACAGTGGTAAACACTAGAATCTACTGAGATGAATTACACCACATCTTTCTTCATGATTTGTGTTATTTTTCTCTCCCGCGTAACATTTGAACATTCCTTTCTTGTCCTTCAAGTTTGTGCTTACTAGGTCACTAGTTTTTATATTACAATTTATTTCAAATCTCATATTTTGCTCCTCCTTTCTCTTACTCCATTTTACCTTCTTTCCTTTTCTTATTTTCCATTTAAATTTTATTTTCTCTCTTGCTATGATTTGTTTCCATTCCACACTCTTATTCTTTCTCCCTCCTCCAGCCTCTTAAAACCATTTTTCTTGTCATTAGTCATCTCACATTCTTTTTCCTGATCTTAAAATATCCTTATTCTCTCTCCACCTTTATCAATCCTTGCTCATTGGTTCTGAATATGATACTTGTTGTTGCATTTCTTCAATTTACTTCTAGATCTTCACTATTTATTTCAATCTCAAATTTTACCATGTCCCTTTCCTACTCTATTTTGCCTTCTTCTTGCCCTTTCTTTTTTTATTTTAGATTTTAATTTTTCCCTGACTTAGCCTAGTTTTCATTCCTCACTCTTAGTATTCCTTCTCCGTCTGGCCTTTCAAAGTCACTTCCATGTCCTCTTAAGCTTTTCTTTCTTTTTCCCCTCTTATTCCCATGAATGAATGAGTTAGTTCATTTGTTGTTGATAGTGCTGTGGTGGATCTTTTTCTACAGTTTGGTTCCTATTTTTTAATTTATTTATTTTTTCCTTTTTCATTATCTTTTTCACTATGTATTTTTTAAATTTCTGTTTAAACGTAATACTATACACTTCTCTTCTCTTGCTCCATTCTGCCTCCTTTATTCCCTTTTTTCCCACTTAGACTGTGTTCTCTCCTTCTTACTATTCCAAAGGAAGAGAAGAATGATCATCAATGGCTATTGGCAGTTGCAAAAGCAACACCAAAAGTCAGCTTCACGCTCAGGTGAGAACACTGCACCTCCTCCTCATGGTTTCAGGTGCTCTACACATTCAGAGAAACTTCTCTAGTAACAAACTATAGAAATGATCCTTGAAAGTATAATTTTCCATTTTTTATTTACAATATAAGTTTTACTTTCTTTCTCCTGTTGCCTTGCCCTGATTCCCTGCTCTTATTATTGCTTCTCCTTCTACCCTCTCAAAGTCATTTTTCTTTCAGTTGGTCATCTCAAGGCTAGCATTTAAAATTGATTGAGAAATAAGGAGCTTCCCAGAGAAGAAAAAGCTAAAGGAGCTTATTAACACCAAATGAGTACTGCAACAAATATTAAAGAGCTTGCTAGAGGAGAAGAAGAAGAAGAAGGAAAGAAGAAGAAGAAGGAAAAGGAAGAGGAAGAAGAATAAGAGGAAGGAGAAGAGGAGAAGAAGGAAGAGGAAGGGTGGATGGAAAGGAGGGGGAGAAGGAAGAGGGACAGAAGGGGGAGAAGAACAGAAAGAAAAAAAAGAATCTAACAATAAAATGGCACTTAATATGTATCTATCAACAATCACCCTAAATGTAAATGGTTTAAATGCTCCAACCAAAAGACATAGGTAAGCTGAATGGATAAGAAAACACTCCATGTATATGCTGCCTTCGAGAGACACATCTCAGATCTAAAGATACACACAGACTAAAAGTAAATGCATGGGAAAAGATATTTCATGCAAATGAAAAGGAAAAAAAGCTGGGGTAGCAGTACTTACACTGATAAAATAGACTTTAAAACCAAGGCTATTAAGAGAAAAATGGCATTACATGATAAAGGGAACAATCCAGCAAGAGGATATAACCCTAGTAAACATTTACACACCCAACATAGGAGCACCTAAATATGTGAAGCAAATCTTGATGGACATAAAAGGAGGAATCGACAGAAATACAGTCACAGCTGGGGATTTTAACACCCAAATGACTTCAATGGATAGATCTCCCAGGTAGAAATCAACAAGGAGACAGCGGCCTTAAACAACACACTAGATGAAATGGATTTAATTGATATCTTCAGAGCATTTCACCCCAAAGCAGCAGAATATACATACTTTTCAAGTGCACATGGTATGTTTTCTAGGAGAGACGACAACTAGGACACAAAACAAGTCTCAGTAAATTTAAGAACACTGATATCATATGAAGCATCTTCTCTGACCACAATGCTATGAAACTAGAAATCAATCACAAGAAGAACACTGAAATACATGCAAAGACATGGAAGCTAAATAACATGTTATTAAACAATGAAAGAGTCAACAATGACATCAGGGAAGAAATTGAATGATACCTTGAAAGAAATGAAAAGAAGGGCACAACAATCCAAAATCTGTGGGACACTGGGAAAGCAATCCTAACAGAGAAATTCATAGCATTAGAGGCCTATCTCAAAACAAAAAAAGGAAAAAGCTCAAATAAGCAATCTAACTTCACACTTGAACTTGAAAAAGAAAACCAAAGCCCAAAGTGAGTAGAAGAAAGGAAATACTAAACATCAGAGCAGAAATAAACCAAATAGAGTCTGAATAAAACAGTACAAAAGATCAATGGATTCAAGGGTTGGTTCTTTGAAAAGATAAACAAGATTGACAAACCTTTAATCACTGTCATCAAGAAAAAAGGAGAAAAGACCCATATAAATAAAATCAGAAATGAAAAAGGAGAAATAACAACTGACCCAAAAGAAATACAAAGGATTGTAGGAAAATATTATGAACTATATGCTAACACACTGGACAACCTGGAAAAAATGAATAAATTCCTAGAAACACAAAATCTTCCAAAACTAAATCAGGAAGAATCAGAGAATCTGAATAGACAGATTATACCTAGTGAAATTGAAGCAGTAATCAAAAAACTCCCAACAAACAAAAATTTTGGACAGGATGGCTTCACAGGTGAATTTTACCAAACATTCTGAGAAGAACTAATACCTCTCTTTCTAAAACTATTTCAAAAAATTCATGAGGAGGGAAGGCTCCCAAACTCATTTTACGAAGCCAGTATTATTCTAATTCTGAAACCAGATAAAGACCCTACAAAGAAAGAAAATTACAGGTCAATATCCTGATGAATATAGATGCTAAAATCCTCAAGACAATATTAGCAAATTGAACACAGCAATGCATCAAAGATCATACACCATGATTAAGTAGGATTCATTCTGGGAATGCAAGCTTGGTACAACATTCATAAATCAATAAATGTGATTTACCATATAAACAAAATGAAGGATAAAAACAGTATGATCATATTAATAGATGCAGAAAAAGCTTTTGATAAAATCCAGCAGCCATTTATGATAAAAAAAAAACCCTTACCAAAGTGGGATTAGAGGGAACATACGTAAACATGATAAAGGCCATACATGACAAACCCACTGCCAGCATCATACTCAATGGGCAAGAACTACAAGTGCTCCCCTTAAGATAGGGAACAAGATAGGGATGTCCACTTTCACCTCTCTTATTCAACATAGTACTGGAGGTCCTAGCCACCACAATCAGAGAAGAAGAAATAGAAGGCACATAATTGGAAAGGAAGAGGTACAACTGTCATTATTTGTAGATGACATGATACTGTATATAGAGAACCCCAAAGGTTCCACCAAGAGAGTACTGGAGCGGATAAATGAATTCAGCAAAGTAGCAGAATACAAAATTAATATCCAGAAATCAATTTAACTTTTATATGCCAATAATTAACTAACAGAAAGGGAAATTAAGAAAACAATCCTATTCACAATTGCTTCAAAAAGAATAAAATATCTAGGAATAAACCTGACCAAGGATGTAAAAGACCTGTACTCATAAAATTATGAGACACTGAAGAAAGAAATAGAAGATACAAATATGTGGAAGCACATACTGTGTTCATAGATAGGAAAAACTAACATCATTAAAATGTCTATACTGCCCAAACCAATCTATAGATTCGACACAATTCCTATCAAGATAACAATGACATATTTTACAGAACTACAACAAATATTTCAAAAATTTATATGGAACCACAAAAGGCCACACATAGCAACAGCTGAGAAAGAAGAACAAAATTGAAGGAATCATGCTACCTAATATCAAACTACACTACAAGATCATAGTAATCAAAACAGCATGGTCCTGGCATAAAAACAGATACATATATCAACGGAACAGAATAGAGAACCTAGAAATAAACTCACACCTTTATAGTCAATTAATATTTGACAGAAGAAGCAAGCATATACAATGGGCTAAGGATAGTTTATTCAATAAATGGTGTTGGCAAAATTGGATAGATAAGTGCAGAAAAATGAAACTAGACCACTTTCTTATACCACACATGAGGATAAATTCAAAATGGATCAAAAACATAAGTGTTGGACCTGAAACCATAAAAATCCTTGAAGAAAACATAGGCAGCAAAGTCTCAGACATTGCTCGTAGATTATTTTATTGGATTTATCTCCCCAGGCAAGGGAATCAAAAGAAAAAATAAATAATGAGACTACACAAACTGAAAAGTTTTTGCACAGCAAAGGAAATCAACAAAATAAAAAGACAACCCACAGAATGGGAGAACATATTCGTTGATACATCTGATAAGGGGTTAATATCCAAAATTTATAAAGAACTTACAAAACTCAGCAACAAAAACCAAACAACCCAATTAAAAACTGAGCAAAGGACCTGAACACACACTTCTCCAAAGAGGACATACAGATGGCCAATAGACATATGAAAAGATGCTGAACATCACTAATCATCAGAGAAATGTAAATTAGAACCACAATAAAATATCATCTCACACCTGTCAGAATGGCTATCATCAATAAATCCACAAACAAGTGCTGGCAAGGATGTGGAGAAAGGGGAAAACTTTTGTACTGTTGGTGGGAATACAGATTGGTGCAGCCATTGTGGAAAGCAGTATGGTGATACTTCAAAAAATTAAAAATGGATCTGCCTTTTGACCCAGCAATCCCACCCGTGGGACTATATCCAAAGGAACTCAAAACACTAATTTGAAAAAACATAAGTACTTCTATGTTCATTGCAGTGTTATTTACAATAGCCAGGATATAGCAGCAGCACACATGTCCATCAGTGGATGAATGGATAAAATAAATATGGGACATTAACACAATGGAATATTACTCAGCCATAAAAGAAGAAAATTTTATCATTTGCAACAGTATGGATGGACCTGGAGAACATTATGCTAAGTGAAGTAAGCAAATTAAAAGAAGATAAATCCCATATGATATCACTCACATGTGAAAGCTAATGAACAAACAGAACTAACAAGGAAAATGGGGACAGACTCATAGATAGAGAGCAGGATGACAGAAAGTCTGGAGGGAGGTGAGGGGGTGGAGGGATTGAGCAAACAGGAAGAAGGACTCGTGGACATGGACAACAGTGTGGTGATTGCTGAGGCGTGGTATAAGGGGACTAAATGGTAATGGAAAAAATATACAATAAAGATTAAATTTTTAAAAAAGAATACTTAGGTAATAGCTTTGGTTTTTAAAATGAGAAGTTGAGGCATTTTTCAATAACTAAAAAGAAAATAAATGCGGACAATACAGGCCTTTTGTTCAGTAAAAAGAATCAATATAAATACCCTTTGTTATAGCAATTAGTTCAATTCTGGGACACTGGTGCCGATGTTGACATTAAAGTCCCCTTTCTTTTCTGGCTGGGTTAACAGCTATAAACCTTTACACACTGCAGTGCTGGCACCATGTGTGGAGAGAAACTTGTAAAAAGGGAGCCAATACAGAAGAAAATAAAGCAGAGAGAATGGCAGTAACAGAGCCGATCAGGTCTAACATGGTTTACCCCCAATGTCCTTTGTTTTACTTATTCCAGGTGGGTTTTCTGTGGCTTACAACTGGAAAGACCCAGAAAAATGTAGAACTCAAATGTTCTAAATTCCAAATTATTTTATTCAGCCTTGATGCAATAAAGTTATAACCAATCTCAAAATTTTAATAGTAGGAACTTCAAGCAAATAAAAAGAAAAACTGTTCTATTTGCACAGTGCTCTGAGGATCAAGTTGCCACCAGAAAGTGGGCTGGAGAAAACCTC